TGGGTCCGCTATGTCGATGATACCTTCGTCTTTATCGACCGCGATCGATTGCTAACATTCAACAAACGGCTCAACGCTATCTTCTCGGAACATATAAATAAATATGCGCAATGAACTTTTGGAGTTTTAATAATGATGACGCCCCATTTCTTGAATTTTCAAAGTACCGAGAAGGCAGTGAGATATTTACATGCTAGGACTGGGAGGAAAATCCTCAGACAGAGATCTAGACAGAAGTTTTCAATGGTGAAACTTCGGGAAAGTTATAAAATGAGTGTCACAAGTGAGTTTCTCAGAGGGAAAGTAGGTGATAAATTATAGGCGTAAGCGGGACCGTATAATCCTGCTGATCAGATTCTATATATTGGATCGAAATGTTCCCCAACCAGGGCAAAGTAGTTAACTGACAGAGGCTACTGGCACATCCAAAGCCTTGCAGCTGCAATAAGAATGTTTCTTGGCCGACCGAAAGTTGTGAAACAGAGGAACACTGTTCGAGCTTTGCTAATTGGTTTAGGGACGGAACGGGGGAAGAGGGAAAAAGACAGCTAAGACCGTCACTACAGAAGGACACAATTAGTGGACTTAGCAACTAAATGACAGATCGGCCGTCGATTTAGACAACACCCACAGTGTTTCCAACAGCAGGCTGAGAGCAGGGACGGCGACTCGAACATGAGTTTATTCCTAGTGATGGCCGACGTGTGCAGCAACTACCGCACTTTTCCCTCCTCCCCCATCTGGATAGCGTGTCACGAGCAAGTCAAAAAAACGGAGTTGCAGCAGGCTGCGGTTGGTTGGCACGGCGAGAACACGCACCTAGGCGTACCCCCACATCCCCTGATCCACAAGGGACGCGAATCAGGCGTTTACACCACAACACAATTAGGAGGCGACAGGGATCCCAACTGACGTGGCGTGAGCCTGCAACCGTGCCTGCTGTCCCGCCCTAATGTCGACGTTTTTTATGGTTACGCATTCCCGATAACGCCTGCCGGACTTCGATCTGGCCCCTGTGTTCGTTCAGGGCATCTACCGCGTGGCCCGTTTTAGAAGCAAAGGAAACTACAAAAACACAGGAACCTCCAGGTTACCTGAGATCCTAGTTAGTAAAGCAGAACATGTAAGATCTACCCATAAATTTCGGAAGGGCCCTTTTAGAAGTCCAAAAGCTGAGTCATTGGTAATGAAACAAACGGCTATGAACTTATACCTGCTGAGCTAAGATGGTTACGTAGCTTCCTCTTGAATACTTATAAGTAGGGGGACGACCTAGTTTCAAATGAAAAATTCCTTCAAACAAAATTATACGATTTAAGAAATTTCTGGACATTGTCGATGTTGCCACGGTCACTGGCATTTATTAGATCAATAAAGGATAGCACTATGCGAGGATGGAGTGGGCAAATATTTGACAGTCTTAGCCTCATTTCCGGATAAAGAAAGTCAAAAGCCATTAGAACTCGTGTCTGCTGAATGTTTGTGGGAATTCAATCTGCATTAAATGACAAATATGAATTACTCGCATGCTTGAAGTTGATTGTTTGAAAGGTCTTTAAGGAGGGAAGTTCAGCGGGACCGAGGCGTATGAAATTATACTTCGAAGACGAAGACTACGTCTGCCGAGTCGAACTTCATTTCAACAGCAGGGATTCAATTTTTTTTAAAAAATAGTTGCCTTTTCACAGAAAATTAACAAACGCAATTAAGGCCATAAGCATAAATAAACGTTTTTGGATGTTGATTCTGTGTGAGATGTGGCTATCGTTAAAGATGAAGAAGGGCTGCAGAATCATGCCTTGCAGCCTGCCACTCGTGATTGGGTGGTTTTGAGTAGCAATTACCGACCATGACTTTAGGCGGATTAGAGAGACCTGATGGAGTTGAGAGAATAGGCTGGATGCCACGGACTTCCAGTTTTACTAAGAGATGTCTGTGTGGCACCTCGCCGAGGGCTTTATTAAGATCAAAGTAGATAACTACAACTGACTGCCGCTCATTGCGAAAAGAAACGCTAAAGTTGAGAAAGGCCGGTCGACAGGATCCACAAGATCTTTCAGGTAAAGTCATGTTGCTTAGAGCTCAGGAGCTGATTATCCTGATACAAATCAGAAATTTCACTGAAAATTACCCTCTCGAGTGGTTTTGTTGGAGACGGAGTTCCATGCACGCTCCGATAGTTATTAATGTTGGAGAAAGATAGTGACGGGAATGAGAATGGATCTTGCATGCTTCAGGGAAGAACCTGCACGAAAGGCTAACAGAAAATAAGCGACCAAGCAGCCCGGAAATATCTGACACCCTACTGATAAGTGAACTTGGAAGTCGTCCGCTTCTGAGAAGTACGAGTACTTTAAACAGCTTATTTGTTTCTAAATTAGTTCAAATGGAATCAACATGATACTGAGCAACCTATCTGAACGTGGACGCATGAGAGGAATTGGTTCGAACTCAAAGGTAGAAAGTTCGGCGAAGAAAGCATTGTAGAATTCGGCTCTGTCAAAGTCACTAATCACATCTCCGAGTCTAATTTGGAAGTTTCTGTATTTCTTAAATAAACAGATAAGGAATCAGTTCACGCACATTGCAAAGCCATTCTCAACCTTTTTAGTCAATTATAAAGAACGAGAGGAAAGGTGAAACCCAAGAAGTTGGACTTGAGACTTCTGCGTGGTACAAATGATATAGAACCTTCAGCAGTAGCCTACGTGAAGTCACAGATAACTGATGCACAATTACTAGAGAAAAGGTTGTTCCCGTCCATTGAGCTATTAAGTGTGTTGATTAAGTTGCGGTCTATGAAATTTAAATCTTAACTTTTTGAAAGACAAGCAGTAGATAACAGTGCTATTGCAGCCTAACCCCGCTCCTGAGAGGGACTGAGTTCTCTCGTCAACTGGCAGTTTACTAAGTCAAGACGCTTGGAACGCAGTGACATATTCAAGCGTACCAACACTCGGGACGCAATCTGGTGGACGCAGGCACGACGAGAATGATCATAAACTCATAGCTTCCATTTTGATCTCACTATGGCAAGCGAAATTCACGTAAGGTCTGCCAACTTTAATGCATATCACTGATAGCCAGTGGGTTGACCGGTTCTTCCCTCGGTTCGCTGGGATTGTCCAAGGACCACCAAATTGTCCACTCCATTCAGTAAGGCGAAAGAGGGTGCTGTAGCTGGTAACAGCCATGAAGAAGTACCACAGGAGGGTTTTATAGACTGCAAACTAGAAGGAAGACTCGGTCAGCGACAATGCGATGACTCTGCACCCTCTGAAAGTAGAAATGCGCAGGGACGCAGAGACGAGGTCAAAGGCGACAATTCCGACTGCCATACTCCATTTAATTTAATGTAGTGGAGGTCAGGCTACTATACACCGGAAGGTGGGCGCGAAAGTGATGCAGTTGTCACTTTGACCATCTTGAGTAAATATAACAAACGACCTGTACGCCCGTCTTAGGTCTGGCGTCTTCTATGATGGTGTGCTTGAGAATGTCCCCAATGCATAACACAACGCCAAAAGTTTAAGACAGCTCCGAGATCTGGACGACACAAATGAATCTCCTAAGCATGAGGACCAGAGCCGCCTTCAGAGACGTCGAGTGAACGGGCTAAGGAAAACTGCTGGGGAAATGGAGTACTTCGGTCCCGGTAGCCACGCAGAACGACTGTAGCTCTAACCTGCCCAATGACATCGAAAAACCCCCTACGATGTGCTGGTAGCTGGAATAGTTATGATTTTGGACCGACGACATCTGTAAGGCTAACTGTGGAAAATCTTTTGGAGACATTCCCATCCTCAAACCTCGATGACAATTTTAACCTGCAGTGTGGGCAAAGGTGAGTGTTTGAACAAAGTCAATCAGAAAAGGCAATAAGCAATCGTATCGTACTCGAAATCGCCGCCATTTGAAAGAATAAAGAGCATAGTGGCGTCCTTGCCAAAGCAGGGTTTTGATGACTGAAGTGGGCCTTAAGATTGGGATACCGAAGCGGAAATCGACCGCTAGAACAAAAGCTATTACCTCATCAGCGGAGACAGCAAGCGGCAAATATAACGAACGCACGGGCCGCAAATGGACAACACTGCGCACTCCACGCGTCCATTAAATCCTCTGAGGATGGTGCCGGAAAAGAACCCGTAGCGCCAGGCCAGTAAGACTTACGGCTCATTCTCCGCAATCACTCCCAGGGACTTAGATGCTCATGGATGTCGACAAGCGACTGCCCTAACGGGCTGACCCGCCTGATCGGCAATTGTGAAAACCGCCAAGCTAACATCTACGTTACCGCAAAACAAACTTTTTCGAGATATCGAGTTTGCTCGTCTTTGCCTCCACACCCCGAGTGCCTGACAGCGGGCTTTATTGAAATCCTTATCGTAACGTTTCTCTAGACTTTAATGGAAATCAGCCTGATCCCCTTCCCTTTCTAGTATAGGTCATCTCTAAACACGAAAGTGATATTAACCACTAGATTCGGGCTGCAAGACGGCATTTTCGTTTTGCCTTGGAGTTCTGGGTACGCAGAGCACGCTTACGATTGCCGTGGGACGAGATGTCACTACTGTCAGTTCGATTATATCTCCCATTAAAAATAATCTCTTTCATCTATGCCGACGACTCTTCCTATCCTCGCTAATCAACTCGTGCTAGTACTGCTCCCGAAAAAGTTAAGAATCCTGCCTTACGTTTGAAGACAAGAATTCAACAGGCATGTAAGCGAAGAGCGCGCCAGCGAAGTAGGTATCGTAGCAAAACAAGACATAAGTCGACTGAAACAAATGAGCACAGGGATGAAGACGCAGAACTTTGGACGTTGGGAAGCGTAAGCTTATGTTTGCTCCCATGAGGACTTTCCTTCAGAAATGTGCACAAGGAAACCGGGAGCGAGAGGACGTGAGGGTTGAAAGCAAAGGGCCCAACGGCGAGGAGGTTTGCAAGGTAAGGAGATAAGGGAAGAACTACAAGAGCGGAGTACAAAGACGGACAGGAGCTCAAAAGTGCTTTGGTGGTCTGGAGCCGGCTGTCGGCGCTACTGGTCGACACTGGCTCCGCTGTGAAGCGGGTTTAACAGTACGAGGATAGGGCAGTGGTCGAGATGTGAGGGGCGCAGCGGAGGCAGCAGTAGATGCTGACTTTGGTGGCCTCGCAAGACAGAACCTCAGGCCGAGGCGGCCAAAGAGGGAGAGGAGACAGTTGGTGATCCAAAGACTCGGCCGCATCGAGGCGATGAGGAGGGACTTGGTGAAGGTGGGCACGCGGCAGCGCACGTCTAGGGCTCTCGACCAAGAGACCTGAAAGGCACCGATTACCAGCAGTGGGTAGGTGAAGGCTATGATGAGATCGCCCCAACCGAAGAGCCCGGGAAAAAGGGAGACCAGAGTGCCCAACGGGAGACCATAACCAAGGAAGAACGGCCAGTAGTCAACTATCTGTGGCAACAGGAGGTCGATAGTGGCATCTGAAAATAATCATCAATAAACAACAGCCAAGGAAAAAGTGAGTCATGCGTAAGAACAGATCTGAGGAACAAAAAGTGCAGCGGACTCGAAAAGGTTTCGCGAAATACAAATAATCCTAGTGAACAGGTGGAATGTGGAAACGACGACACGAACGAAAGGGAGCGCAAAATCACTGGTCGATAGAAAGGTCGAAAAGTCTCTAGGAGTTATCCTGAGTCGTCACGAAAACCCAAAAGCCTTGTGTCTATAGAAGGAAAAGCTCAGATTCATGTTGCTTGGGAACCGAAAAAGGCGAAAATAAAATAACACAAAGGCTAACGGACTATGGAGAACGCAAGTTCTGCCCAGGCTCATTCAGTCCTTTTGACTGTTAAAGCATAAGTGATAGTAAGCAGATATAATGAAATTGAGTCTAGTCCACTTGCTGGCGTACCCAAGTCCAGATATATCACCAGGACCAACATCGATTATTGCTTTAGGGCTGGGAGGAAATTCCCAAGTAAGAAATTACTTCAATCATTGGATGAGAGCACTAAGCAAATAACGTGGGGGCAGAGTTCTTGTCAAAACACATCCTTCATCGTGGATATTCCCAATGAAGCCGAAGAGTGGACGAAAACTTTGAAAAATGAATATTTTGTGCACGTAACAGGGTTCCGTATAAGCGGGACCCTCAAAAGTTGTTTGACGGCAATTTTAGAGATAATCTATCGTATTAGTCTGAAAGCTTCGTGTGGGAATGGGAAGAAACCGTTACGATGGAAAGATACACACTGAGGTTGGATCTTGATAAATTGACGTTATAAACAATCCGTTCTCGGGCTACTCGTCTATTCGGCATAAAAATAATTTGGCGGCTAGGGCAAGGCCGGAGGTAGTGCTATTTGAAGATGACCTGAAATTCAGGATAATTATAAAGGACAAAACAAACACCTCCATCCTGAAAAGAAACATGGATACATTACATAACCGGAGTGAAGGGTAGTGTGCGAAACTTAACTTACCGGATTACACGAGTGAATTTGAACTTAGTAAGGCAGAGGAGGAAGAGGACACACCAGAAACACTTGCCCCATGGAATTCCGCCAGAAACTGTTCATGATCAAAAGGACTTTGGCATCCCCATAAAAAGATAACTTAAGTTGCGCGGCGCAGTCCATAAAACGCAGCAATGCGTAAGAGAGCCAGTTGGGCCTGCACGTTTGGAGAACTTTTAGAAACTTTCGTTGTGCTTCATCTACGAAGCCGAATTTATGTTGGAGGTCCACGACTGACCGACTACATTCACATCGTAGAATGAATTCAGAGATGCGTAACAAAAAGTAGCACCCAAAGTGGAGCTCCCAGAATACCCACAACAAATGTGTTTTAAATCAGTTTCCTCTCAGGGACGACCTAAGTTTTACCTTTCAGCTGCTGCAAGGCCTGGACACTGACGTCGACCAGAAGCAATTTTTACCAGCTGGCGCTGAAGTCGGGCCTTTATTAGCGTTCGTGAAGGCTCAATAAGCAGATATACTACCGGACAGTCCAGTGTTCCACAGTCTTCTGGCGGTCAGTCAGGAGCTAAAAACTCTTCTTACCTCTGTCGGTGAGGCCTAGAAGGTCGATTGTTTCAAGCGGTGGTGTGACAGTTACCAGTCTAAAAGTATAGCCGACTCCATGAAAATCTGCAGTAGAGCACCACAGATTAAGCCACATTACAAAGCCATCAACAGGTGTATCACACATGAGCGCGTTCAACACCACATACCGCAGGCACGAACTAGGCACCTCTCGGGCAAGTGGGAAGTGTGTTCTTTGGCTCCTGTAGTACTAACGCATATGACTTCTTGGCAGCTGGAACAAGAGCTTTATTCGCCCGACGTTTCGGATTATCGCTTGAACCCATCCTCAGAGACAGTGACGGGTACGGATCTGTCACTGTCTCTGATGATGGGTTCAAGCGATAATCCGAAACGTCAGGCGAATAAAGCTCTTGTTCCAGCTGCCAAGAAGTATATGCGTTAGCACTTCTACTTCTGTAATGTTTGCCAACTCGTTCTAAGCTTCGCTCGAAAATATATTTTTACCTACCATAAAAGTGTCCTTGTGGGTGCTAAATAAAACGATTTGCTTATTTCAAAAGGCAATTTGGCGAGTATGCGTCTGCTTTCGATAAATTCTCTTCAGGCCTGTACATTCATATGGCTATTGAAGAAATGAATTAAAAGATACGGGCAAGTAAATAATTAAGCTGTAGCTCTGGTTTGGGGAGGTGAGGGGGAGAGTGAAACCACAATTCCAGTTGGCGCCACGGAGGTGGGTCCTGGCGAAGGTAATTACATGCGGGTGGCTGGCTTGGTGGCTTTGAGTCATGGCAACTGTGGAACCGGTATGAAGTTCTGATTTACTTAATTTAACAGCAGCAAAATGGAAATAAACGGCTGAACTCACCGGAAGTCTGCCGGGCAAAGTACTCGTAAGCGTAGCAGGCGTACATGAAGGCCTGGCTGGTGGAGTTTATGAAGAAGTTGAACCAAGTCAGAGGAACAAGCGCACCCACCAATTTCCACTACGTGAAATGCAAGAAACAAACAAGAACTCATAACTGAAATCCGATATCTTTGGAGGAGGAAAGGCAGGTTTAAGTGGGTAAATGGCAGCATTTGAAGCAAACCATAAAGAACGGCCGGAAAATTGTATTATGCAGGACGGACACAGATGAGTCATCGTAGTCCGGCAATAAACTAATAACCTAAATAAATTAGACTAAATTTGTTATCGTCAAAGGGGAAAAAGCATCAACTAATTGACCAAATGGTCTTAATACTGCGGTTTAATAGTTGACAGGCCCAGAGACGACTATAACAATACTTCAATCTATCTCCACTGTCAACGGGCATTTAGGGTCAACAGAGGCACTCGTTGGACAACTTCCAACTAATCGTAATATCGACCATGAAGGCACGCTACCCATCACACGGGCCGCCACTGTTGATTACGGTGGATAAACAACCACGTTTGCCATGATCCATGCCTTTCTTAAGTGAGAAGACACGTGGTGGTAATACTGGTAAATACAGTGCGTGACCGATCTCATAAAGTGCTGGCCAAAATTCTGGATTGCGTTTCCAATTAGGAAGGATTACTTAAGTGGGGTTATTATACTGATTATCATGCAGCATAACCCTATGACATTTCGGACTCATCAGGATGTCAGCTTTTGAATGCACCTCTTTTTAACCTCCTACAGAAACTACACTCGGTAAAAAATGACTACTTAAGTGGCATGCATTTTTTCCATTGATTTTCGATAGTCTTATAAATTTAAATATATTTTATAGAAAACATGCATAAAAATATGCTTTCTTTTGCTCATTTGGTAGGAAATCACATTGTCTTCATATTTTATGCCCGAAGAAACTGTGTATTTAGGTTTTTAAAAAGTTTCCCAATTCCCGAATAATTTTGCGCCTGATCTGTCATTGCATCAGCGTTTAGCGATTTCAGTTTACAAGGTGCACGCTTTCCGCGTAAGGAAAATCATATATTCCTCTATGTCTTTAAGAAGACACCACGTAGAGTTCATGCAGTTTTGTAATGGACCCGGACTGTGTTGTACATTTCATGAGGAGCATTAGTAAACGGACATGTGCGACCTTGCAGGAATGGACATCAAACGGTCTTAAAAATCTCATAATTAGAAACTTTTTAAAACCTAAATATACACTTTCTTCGGGCATAAATATGAAGACAATGTGATTTCCTATCAAATTAGCAAAAGAAAGCATATTTTATGCATTTTTTCTATAAAAAATATTTGAATTTATAAGACCATCGAAAGTCAATAGAAAAAAATCATGGTACTTAAGCAGTCATTTTTTACCGTGTGTGGTTTCTGTAGGAGATCAAAAAGAAGTGCATTCAAAAGCCGACACCCTTGCGAGTCCGAAATGTTATAGGGTTATGTTGCATGATAATCAGTATAACAACTCCACTTAAGTAGTCCTTCCTAGTCGGAAACGCATTCCAGAATTTTGGCCAACATTTCATGAGATCGGTCACGCAGGGTATATAGCGAAAATTCTTGTCGTCCATATGCAGCTCGGAACGTCATGATGAAGAGTGGGAGAAAATTCCGTCAGAAGAGTTGCAAAAAATTGAAGAGCAGTCCCAGTGAGAGGATATGTAGGATGAAGCTTATCAGCTCTAGAGTTTAATCACATTACTTGGTTGAAACGGCTGTGACAGTGCTTGGAATATCTGACCTCAGTGATCGTGAAGAGTTTCGTAGATCTTCGACAAAATCGGGCCCTCAACAGTCGCTCAAATATTGTCTTCGAAATGTTCCTCTCTGGTCTTTTGGTGATCTGGAACTCAATCAGCGGTGGCAGCTAAAGCTATCTCATGGTTTTTCACGGCTGCCAGATCAGACTATTCACTAGGTCTTTGTGGTGTAGCTGATGCGCCAGGCCACAGTGTTCTGCGCTGTGGCGAGGTGGTGCGCCTGCAAGGTGCGTTCAGTTCATTGTATTCAGGAGAAATAGGCTTACGCGGTTGAACACCCTATTTGTTACGTACAAATCGGGGGAATTGGCGACAACATGAGGAAGCTACAGCATCGGGTAGAAAAAAACTTAGTTTCACAGAAGAATTCTTGTTTTAATGTTACATAGTCACATAGTCCGCTTGTTGATGCGGCATGTGTCTGTCACACATCCAATCTTCCTTAGGGTGCACGCAGTTTGAAGGAATGCCTCCGAGGGTTGATTGCAGTTGCGAGTTGGAAGAAGTCATCAAAAGGGAGGGCGCAGGGAGAAAAACCCACGGTACGGAAAGTCCGTATCAAGTCCCCGCGGAATCGCCTATATGGCTCTACAGGCCTGACAGAATTATGACCGTCGGTTGCGATGGCGTTTGACGGTTACTATTTTACATCTGTCCCGTTGCACGGCCACCGCCGCGGGTTTTATCTCGACTGCGCCACGACCAAGCGCGTTGTCAGGCAAGCCGGCGTACCTCACTAATCGTGCGCCCAGAAGCCTAGGGGAAATCCAGTGGACTTTACCGAGTAACGTCTTCAGTAATATGGCATTACAGAGCTTGAACATTCCGAGTGGCAAAGTGACGCTAGGCAGCCTTAGACTGAAGGTAATGTCCACCTGTGCCTGCGCGATGGGAGGCTTGGGGGCAGTAGGTTGATTCGTTTACGCTAGTTTCGCAGTGATTATAAGACAGTACTAGCAGTTGATTGTCGCTGACAGGGCGTAGGCAGGGTTATGGCGTCTCCGGGAGGCCTTCTGTCTGGCCTTGTGATTCACAAAAATTTAAGTGAATGATGCGGCACTGGAGGGTTCCTACCGGTCCAGAAGTGAAAGGGCGTCGCAACAGTAACGGGTAACGCGCATCCTTATCGACTGAGGATTAACCCACAAGTGGCATTGACCCTGTGGACTCCTGTCCGAGGTAAAGTTGCCGCGATCGTGGCGGTCGGTTTAAAAGTGAATACGTGACAGTTAGGTTTGCTAACTATGCTCAACCCGAGTGTTCGGTACTCTGGTACAGCAAACAAACTGCATAACGGCAGAAAAGTCTTGCCTTCGATCGGCAGAGAAAGGATTAGATTGTTACTAAAATCAGTGATTTTTGCATGGTTTCTGCAAGTCTTGGACAGCTCTGAACCTGTAGCGATATTATGGTCCTCACAAACATCCACGTGTACCAAGACATTCCCCCGATCGGTCTTCCTATGACACTGCGATTGCGGGGTTATTTGGGTGGAGAACAAGAGCTGGAGGTGTTTGGCCGCCGTCGCCTGAGAACGATCCCTTGAATGAAGTATACAGGTATTCGGTCCACGTCATTGGAGAAAAGAATAGATCGAGCTGTGCAGATCCCCTGCCGCTGACCGTCATGCAAGAAATGGTGCAATCTGTGATATCCTCGAGGTCAGATAAATGAGGCTTAGTCATAGCCCTACTAGGCACAAGCAGGTAAGCAGGGGCAATTAAACCTCGCGCTGTCAAAGGCAGAATAAGAAATAACGAGTAAAATGTTGAAAACCTCAGTGACAGGCACCGATTCTCCATGGTAACGTATTTCAGACGAGAGGAAGGTCGGTAATGAAAAAGAGGACCCAGATTTACCTGGAGGCGATATATGATGAAGAAAAGAAGAGAGTAGACGCGGTCCATCAGCGATTTTCCGATCCCATAAAGAGCCGGCTTACGAGCCAGGGGGTCGCTGTGTGCGTCCCCTAGGACGCAGGATGAGGCAGGGGCAGGGGAGCTCTCTCGCGAGGAGGAGACTGTCCGGCCGAGATAGTCGGTGGCTTCCACAGGATTCTCTCTACCAACTCGTTTCCTGCTCCCATGCGAGGAGGTAGATCGCTTGCTCTGAATGAGACCTATGCGATCGCAGATCTTCTATAACAGCGGGTGACATTTCAAGAAAAAAAAGGAGTAGTGGGAGAGGCAGGAACAACGACGACACGGAGAGGCATGCGGGTGACAGGTGATGGCATCAAACATTTTTCTGAAGGCAAGTGTGAGCAGTGTGCTGTCAAGGTTCAACGCTGTCTATCAAAGTCAGCAAATCAGTTCAGGCTTATGTAATATGCCAATGATATGAAGGAAGTCTTTCTGCCTAGGCAGTGCCTGCGCATTGCCTCACAAAATGTCAGAAGGCCCATACTGCCTATTTGCATGCATTGCGCCCGAGAAAGAACTACAAGAGATCTCAGGGAAAAAAGAAGCGGAACGTCCATACTTCGTCCTGTGACCAGACAAAATAGGTGGAGGGCAGCAACTCCACGTAGACTGGAATATCTCACACTGCAGTCAACGGAGTGCGAGCTCACATCTCAACTAATAAAGCGACCGGCTCAATGGATGCAGTCGCAGGCACTTGTAGCGTGGGGCTCTGGTATGATCTGAGAGTGTCATTTCACTCTTTGCTGTAATATATGTCAAATGTTTTTTCTTCGCCTGTGAGAGTTCAACTGTCGCAAACATCTACTTTTATCATCACGCGTCCCTCGAAGTGGGTACAGCACAGGCGACTTGCACACGAATGAGTTTGTAGTGAAGCAGCTGTCGCTCTCTCTTCACCCCTGCCCACCTTGGGCGCAGTGGTCGACAAAGCTAAACAGCCCGCCAACGCACACCACACACGAGTTGGTCTCCATTAAATGTACCCGGCTATCAGTAGGGAAGACTCGAAGCTCAGATAGGCGGCAGTGCCGAGAAGGCAACATTAAAAAGGATCCATTGCAACCCGACTAAGAGGGACCAAGTTACCCTGCCAGTGGGCAACTTTGCAAGCCACGACTCTTACTCCTCCTGACCGATGCAAGCTCGTCCGGTTTATTATAGCGAGGGATGTACTAAAGTACCGTGGGAATAGATTCCCCAGGGTTGGCCTCACTCTCATGCACCAACCTACCGTTCGAGCCTGTAAGCCATCTGGTGATGAGAATGGGCCAGTGGCCAGCCGTGTACAGGTGGCTGTGGATCAGACTAAAGGTTTGAATACTTTAAAAGACAATTTGGCGAGTATAAGTCAGCTTTGGATAAATTATCTTCCGACCTGCGCATTTAAGTTGCCATCGAAATGACTAATAAGAAAATGCAGACAATTAGCTGTTTTTCTGTAGCTGGATCTTTTTTTGGGGAGGGGGGGGGTGGCGAGGTTGAATAATTACCAACGCCATGGAGAAGACAGCACAAATCAAAAACAGACAGCAGAGGAGACAAGAGACCAGGAGTAAGTTGGGTCTTACCTTGAGGTAAATTACGTTGACCAGCTCCATGACAAGGAAGATGAAATTCTGCAGGATGATTATTATAAGGTGGCAGGGAATGCTAACGATCCACAGGCTGGAGAGCCAAAGCCCTAGAAGATAGCGAAGTGGGAATAATGACATATAGAAGCAGGAAAGACGAGGAAGAGAAATAGTCCTCTCAAAAATAATAAACTAGGTGACTCCATGCAACTTCGTGCTCACAATGATCTTCCGCCATAAAAACGCTTGCCTCTCACTTCCATCCCTTCTCTCCCTGAGCCTTTTAGAGGATGACATAAGTTAGCAAACAAGTATTTGCTAAACATATGAATTTACCAAGATGAAGAGAAATCGTCGAAAGTACATGTTTGTCAGGACTGGGTCATGAAATGTTTGATGAAAATTACGCAGAATTTTGATGAGAAACGACGGATCACAGGGGGGGGGGGGCAAATGCTTGCTTTCAGCGCCTCATATCGCTCTTTAACCCGGGCGGGAGGATTCGGTAAGGAATGCTGGTATGAGATAAAAGTTTTGGTGATTTCACCTTGTCATAGTTTCCTAAACAACGGACACCCCAGAAAGGGGAGAATCAAAAGCTTTGTGTTGTCTCACTCCCCAAAGCTTCCAGATAAATGCAGTTAGGAATATAAAAACATGCAAGAGTACCGACTGAGACATTTTTAACAGCCTTCTTCAAATTCACTAGTATCAGCGGGTTGTCAAACATGACGAAAAGGCAAACAGCTGGAAAGAGCGTCTTGGACAAAGCTAAACGAACGTTTGGTGCACAAAGTAGACTATTCTGGTGGCAGAGGGGATTGTTTCAAGGAGCGGGCAAATGGGGGGCTTCGACATTCATCATGTAAAAAATGACCGCATCAAAACAACACAGTGTACTTGACTAATTTCCGTAATTCCGTCTAAAATTCCCGGCAAAATTGTTACAAAGGCAGTTTCCCATGCAGAAACCTATGACTATAATTTTCACCAGAGATGCAATATGGGAGTACAAAACGTAATCCACCAACAGCATATAACATCCGGCAAAAATCCTATTTCGACCAAGGCAAAAAAGACAAACGAGTCAATGGGAAAGGACGAGGGAGCGGGTGGCGTGTATTTTATTGACTGTGACATTTAGACGAAAGGCAGACGACGACATACCGAAACGCCACTGCTAAACCTCTATGAGGGCTAGCTCGCGAGAGGGTGACAAGGAATTCGCGCTTCACGGAGTCGGCGGCGAAAGGGTGTGCATGGGAATGCCAAAAATCAATGTCCCACGACGTGGCCACAAACTGTGCTGTTAATACGTACACTGTTAAGTTTGTTTTTTTTCGCTGTCCTCCAATAAATACGGCCGTCACGTGTGCTGTTACGCACTACGGATACTAATGCTATTGGTGATATCACTGCCCTTATGGAATCCGATGGTGTTGCTACCGCTCCCGTCAGAAAAGTCACACAATATATAAAACTATTGGAGCTACCACCAATACTATCGTCGATACAAACATCACGCCTTAAACTATTAATATTGCCACGTCGACTGTCTCTGGTGATGGGTTCGAGTGAGAATTTGAAACGTCATGCCAAAAACCTCTTGTTCCAACGATCGCACCTTCCACTGAATATTGTCACTGCTAACAAACAACACTAAAATGTAGGTGGGATACCAAAAACACGACGGGGACTGCAATGACCATTAATGGCTTATCTTCCACCGTCACACGGTCATACCTCAAAGCTCAGGCCTAAGAAGACACAGGAAGCAGAAAGGAAGGAGCGCAGTGTTGCCCTACCAGCACATCGGGGAGGCAGCATTTCCATGTGATTTTGAATGGTTCCAGCAACAGGACGCGAATGGGTTCTAGGTCTCTACTCCCCTCCCCAGTCCCGGGGCTCGGGTACGGCAGATAAGGATGGGGAAGGATCACTCAAGTCCCGCCAACCTCTGTCGATATTATTATTGATCACTGCCGTCATTGAACATCCACGAAGGGTACGATGTCACCAAACTCTACGCCACGAAGACCAATTGAATCCGGACGGGCAAAAATCCGTCATTAAATTCAATTAAACAGGCCAAACGAGGCAAAATTCCGGCCGTAGTACTCATTACTAAAACCTGGCGGTCCAAGCAGGAGACCTATTATCTCCTTTTCTTAGTCTACAGCAGATCGGTCTTCGATTTTTCGACGAGGATAATTAGATGAGCCGGAGTCAAGATCGCATGTGATAGACTCGAGGCGTTGGACTCTGGTCGTGGACCAATTGGCAAATATCATCTGCCCTTCTGCGCCTCGGTAATTGGTCACAAGAGTAGGAGACGACACGACACTGTCCCTTTGTAAATTTAACTTTGTTCTATTGCTGCTTGGCTTGCGCTCATGATAATGAACTCAAAGAATTGTAAAGGTTGCAAAAACTCCCAGCCTCGAGGCTTGCCACCGCCGACAAGTGATGTTCCTTCTACGAGCATCTTCACGCCCTATTGGCTGGGTTTGTACTTTTTTAACGAAACAGACCTGTGAATAGGAAAGGGAAGCAATATTATGCCTGGTTCTTAAGCTGTCTGGACAGCAATCAATGGGGAAAAAAACGAAAGATGCTTAGTTTAATTTTTCGATGTTCAATGTGAAACGCAGCGCAGTTATGATTTGTACACACCACTGGCAAGAACGCAAGCATTTTCACTATGAATGCAGCCGGACAGGTCTGACCAGCCATGGGACCGTAAGCAAAAGGGTCTAGAAGGAAAGCTGACAGTGTGAAAAAAAACATGACTTTAGTGAGGGAAGCGAAAATATTTGAAAATCAAGCTAAAACAGATTCCGTGAAATACGCGGAAAATTCGCATAGAAAAAAAGGAGAATAAAACGGAAGCCGATGCACCAAGCACTACACTCGATACGCATTGCACACGGGCGCCGGGCCTGCGGGTTAAAGCGAAGCAATATGAAAATCCACACAGCCAGATGAAAACACGGAAATTCACTCACCGAAAGAACAGTTGGCAATAATTGAAAGTGCGTGGAATGCGAGTCCCATAACCTAAAGAAAAGGACAGGACGGTTGCTGATGCTGAGGATGGTAAAGAATGGGAGGAGGAGGAGGAGGAGGAGGAGGAGGAGGAGGAGGAGGAGGAGGAGGAGAGCCGTGCTCTGATGTTTTTACATTCATTCTTATTACGGTAGTACGTGTGCTGCTTTTATTCGGCATGGCGAACTCACATATGACTCCCCAAAGAGATCTGCGATAGTTTAAAGTTGAGACAAAGAGCAAGAGAAGTATCCTGGTTGCCGGTGGCTCGAGGAGCATTTATGAGTCTACTTAAAGGTGAAATCGTAGACAAATGGGACTTTTAAAAGGCAGTGTTCCAGAAAACCAAGTGCGGCCTAAATTCGCAGCGCTATGCTTCATTAAAGAAGTGAAATATGATAGTCTGGTAGTCTGAGTAACAGAGCCAACCTCCTCTTTCTCTTGATCGTATGCAGTGCGCAGAATAAGATGTGCTATCTCATGAAATATTGGCCCAGATTCTGAAATATGCTTTCGACTCGAAAAGATTACTCAAGTAGGGTTGAAGCATTAATCATTGTGCGGCTTTGAATGAACCCCCCCCCCCACTCCAGTAACCTGCAAAAACTATACGCCGCAAAAAATAACCCCTCTTGTGGTATGAATTTTTCTAGTTGATTTTCACCGCTCCTATAAGTCCGGATATATTGTATAAAAAACATAATCAACATACACTTTCTTGAACTCAGTTGGTATCCAACCGAGTCTTCTTTAAGTTTTATACTTTAAGAAAAGGTATCATTCGGTTTTGACAAGTTTTTAATTACAAGACAATTTCAGACTAGCAAATGTCCATCCATGAAGCATCGGATCCGTCCATTTATTAATGCTGCCCATAAAGTATACAGCTTGTAGTTTGCAAACGCCGAATGCAAGTGTAACGGCGGGTGAGACATTACATTATTCAGAAATTGAAGCTTCTAAAACCGCAAGATACCCTTTCTTCGAGCATAAAATTTAAAGGGTTCATTTGCTACCAAATAAGTACAAGATACTTTTGTCCACTTTTTCAACAAAATGTTTGAATTTATACGGGCATCGAAAATGGATCGGAAAAATCATACAACGCAAGTAGCCGGTTCTTTACGAGTTGTAGTTTTTTCAGACGGTCAAAAAAGCTCGTCCAGAAGCCAGCACCCCGACGTGACTGAAATATCTTGATAATAATTAATATTAAAGCCCTACTTAAGTAGTCCTTTCGAATCGAAAACGTACTTTATAGCCCCGGTTTACGCTTCGTGAAATAGCACATCTACTGTAATGGCCTTTCAATTTGACCTATCACTCCAAACTCCTTACACTCGCAAGCTAATCAGGCCCTTATAAAGCGTAAGGTCGTAGTTATTTTCGGCCGGAAATGACATTTCAGCCAAAAGTCGCAGCCCAGAGAGGCAAGAGGCGAGTGTGACCTGTCTTTTTACAGCAGGAGATGCAGACCTTGTGACAGGGTCAAATGGAAGTTTAGTCACCTGTGCCGTTCAGATGAAAGTGATGTCTCGGACATACCATGAAGGTGAACTTAAATTAAATAAATAAAATCGTCATTTAAAACGCCAAAAGCGTTTGTGACGGAAAGACGTGCGGCCAGAGTCGCAAAAATTGAAGTACTAATGGGGTCAAGATCGGAGGGGAAATTTCGTGTCCTGATGTGAAACAAATATGAGGATCTGGTTAATGCGATTAAATGAGAACCGGCTATTTATGAGGGATGGAAAACCGGTGGGCTTTCTTATTCTCTCAAAAAGCAATCAGCACTTAAAACTCACCCAAAGCTGATGCCACGCACCGTTTCTCATGTTGATACGGTGCTTTAAATGAACACAGCCCGAAAGAACGTTGACGAGCGAGACAACCGCACCATTTTGCTATTTGTTAGTTATATAATCTGAGTGAACCCACCTGTTGCATGAAGTGTAAACACCTCATTAACCAGAGGCGACTTGAGAATGACTACTGAAATCAAGCGAACAACCGATAACTAGCGCGAGTTAATGGCAGATAAATATGAGCACCGTTTGCGTGGGAATTAGGTCAGGGGCAGGAAGAGATCTAGAAACGAAAGGACGCAATTCTTACTGTTGAAAACTCTATTTGGACCACCTAACAAGTGTGAACTCGCCAATAGGACAGAAGAGTTGATGCACAAGGGTAATTGCCAACAAAACCGAATGTTTAAACGACATTTGGGCCCAAATGCGCCACTAAAACTAGTATTTCTTGATCAACATTGGTTTGTTTCATCGCACACCACTTTAAATATGTTTAAGGGGCGACAACGTTTTCTAAAAAATCTAATGATACAGGGGAGCTTTTTATGTGGGTAGATTTTGGCACCCCTATTCTACACGTCCTCAAAGTAGCCAATACTAGAACACGAGGTAGTGCAAAGAAACAGGAGCTTCAACCCACCTTAGTCTCCTGGTGGGACCGCTGCACCTGCCAGTTTATTACCCCTAGGTAACATATGTTCTCCGTTCATCAGACCCAGTAATATGCAATAGTGGATCAGAAGTGGACTTAAGTTTGTCACCGCACCCTGGAAAAACGCATGAATATGCATATTTGGAAAAAATGAAGACAGAAGAAAAGACAGATTAACGGGATTTACAAGCTGGTCTTGAGATGAGTCCCGGGTTGACTCTACTATATAATTAAAGTGGGTACAGAAGGAAGCTTCTTATGATAAAAAAGTACTGCAACACGAATTCGGTTCCGTTGGCGTTCAGGCCTTGCGGACACAACAATTGGCAGACTGGCAAAGCCAAGATAAGCGGTATCATCCAGTTGATGTGCTATCTCATGAAATGTTGAATAAAATTCTGAAATGTATTTTTAATCCGGAAAGATTACTTAAGCAAGGTTGACATATTAATTAACGTGTGACATAATCCTAAGATATTCCAGTCGCGTTAGGATGGCGGCTATTGAACGGGCTTTTTCCCGGCCGCCTGTATAAAATACACTGTAAAAAATGAATACTGAAACAATATGCATTTTCTCCCATTGGTTCTTGATGTTTGTATAAAGTCGAATATATTTTAAGGAAGACATGGATAAAAGAACATTTCTGTGCTCTTTTGGTAGCGAACTACGTCTTTGAATTTCATACATGAAGAAAGAGTATCTCTCGGTTTTAGGTTTATAATTACGGGTTTCTTAGGAGCCGGAAATATCCAATCATGCAGCATTGCATCAAGACATTTATTGAAACTGTTTGTGAAGTGGACAATATAGTTCACATTCATAACAAAACTTTATGAGACTTGTATGACGTCCTCTTGCTGGCGTATAGGAAAGTTTGGTTTTCCCTACATGCGAGGTATACAGCTTGTAGTTTGGAAACCCTAAATTCAAGTGTAACGGCAGGTAGGGTTCAAATTACTTTGGAATTGAAAAGGATTTTAAGATTGAATTATACTTCTCCTTTAAGTAGAAAAGTTAAAGGAGACGTAATTTGCTACCAAATGGGTACAAAAAAGCATGCTTTTTCCATGTTCTCTATAAAATATAGCTGAATTTACATGGGCACCGGAAATCATTGCGAAAAATCCATGCTGCTTAAGTAGCCATTTTTGCGGGCGGCAGAAGAGAGGCCCGTCCAAAAGCCGGTATCCTGACGTGACTGAGATATCTTGTAATTATGCTGCGTGACAGTTAGCATTACGACCATACTTAACTAATATTTTATGTTCGAATACATCTTTCCGGATTTCAGTTAACATTTCAAGAGATAGCGCATATACTGCATTTTTTCATCCAAAGATAAGTCAATTAAAAAACTGCACGGACTCAGGTTGCTTACAAAGACAAGCAACATGTTGTAAAACCAAATATAGCTAAGGAGCCTGAATATCCCATCTGATCGCGAAGACTGGAGAGGCAGATGCTGCTGCTGGGCCGAATTCTGAAGGTCACCTGTCCCACCCTCCGCTGCCAACTTCAGATCCTCGAGGGAAGAGTACAGGCCCTGATCGCCGCAGACCGTCTTCCTCGTGGCAGTCGACGTCGTCGTCGTCAAGAGAGGGGAGCGCTGTCTTCTAGAGGTGAACTCGCCATGACGGCTGGGTGTAGCGGCCTGCAACTGCAGTCTACGCAGGGCCTGGTCGTGAAGAGGGGCGGAGGGGACGTGCTCGACTGTTTGGCGAGCAACAATCTGTTTGTGCATGCTCCAAAGGCCAAATGGGGCCAGAAGAAACTCTTGGAAACCCGCCCAGGCTCCACACACAACAGCTGCCATGGCGCCTAAACGTAAAGACAGGATAGGAGAAAATTGTGATATAGTCAGGCATGCACACTGCGGGAAGAATCAAAGTACAAAGGGAATAAGTGTATGCACATATGCATGCACAAATAGTGGCTGTACAGGTGCCAAGGACGGCCACATCAAATGTCTAGCAGTACAACCTGATCAGTCCATCTCGACCCCACCTCGTACCCGGATCACGTCTGTAGCACTAGCAGACACTTTTGGACTTCATGGCCACTGTTCGGTTATTGCTTTGATTAGTGGACGAAGACAGCTCTGGATGCGAGGCAGGTCTTTCCAAAACAAGTGAAGTGTTGTGGACCCTGTATCAATTATAGTAAGATGATTGACTGTGTCGCGGCACGCGCAGACGACGAATTTGTGTCGGGTCAATTCATTCCCAGTTATCTGGACCTAGTCTAGCCATTGGGACATGAAAGGTTTAGAAGGGATGGAGTGAGGCCGATAAAATGCAAATTACCCCCACCAAAATTCAATTCGTCACTGCCAGCCCCGGAGCAGGTGTGATCATCATCAAGGTCAACAAACAAACTGTCACCGCTATCACCATCCTCAGGATCTGCAGAATGGCCAACAGAGGTATGGGCTTAGGAGAAAACTGACCCGCTGATACTGTTTATTCCAATCTATCGGATGTCCCAGATAACGAGGTATAGTAACTGTAGAATACATTAGAAACTATGGAAAGGCCTTATATGGGACTCTTACTCGGTCTAATGCGAAGTTGGAATGAGAGTTCCTAGCAAAGGAGAACAGGACAGAATTTCAATCGGGTAGTCAGTTCATTCAACACAAAAACGATGAGAGTACAAGTCCGAGGTAGCTAATTTAGCCTCCTAAAGGACTGTACTGAGACAAAAAAGAGCAAATAATGAGAAATCAATGAGCAAGCACCTTCTTCGTTAAAGAATCGCTCGCGTACTAGTTGGCTTCACGCAAACTGGTTAATCCGTCAGAGACGAGAAGACCACAACCCTCCCCTAGGGTGCAGTGGTAACTTGCGTGTCATCTGGAGACCCGGACAGCATTCATCTCACTCGCTGAATCTCTCACAAAGCCCAAAATGTTCAAATACAAAGAATGGGAACAAGGGAGCTGGAGGATGGGTGGCTATGTAGTGGCTTACAAGACTGAACTCCTATCTTTACACGCCGCACACGTGCTCCTCCTCAAGTGTAAAGGCTATTCTGAGAAGATACCATCACGGCCTAGGCTGCGGTCCTGAGTTGAAAGGAGTTGTCCCCTCGGCGGTTAACTTCTGAAGCCCTGACCATTAGCGCATCGTTACACTCAGAAGCGCGACTGATTTATGAGTGTGAGGATGTTGGGAATGGGTTTCGTGTTTGATCAGTCTTACTCACTCTTCGCTCTCGGATTGTACCAGTGACAAGCACGAGGCAAGTCTGCTGGAGATGAGGTTGGGGCAGTGACTGGCGCAGTGTAACGCGTTTGTCTACGTGTGCCACGCGCATGCTGGTCCATCAACGCACACCAGTTAGGTAGCATAAAACTCGAACTCAAATAAATGATGCAAGATGGCATAAATCAACACTAAGGAAACACTGCAACCTGGTCCTCAGTCAGTTTAGCCTTGCCTGTTGGCGACTTTCCGAGCCACGACCGCTAGCGCGTCGTGATACTTGTACTTGGTGCGGTTGTGACCATGCCTAATGTAACCGGCGTCGATGCCGTCACGCATTGTACCTCACCACGTGTGACGATTCGCAACAGCGGACCTGTACAGCCCTACGCATTCGCCTTTCCACAGAAAAAGACCGGATACTGAGGGTGCGAGAACCACTTCCATGTCTTGACGAACCGTGTTGAGCCAGGTCTTGAGTTGACCTTCTCTTCGACGCCTCCAGGTGGGCAACGGCGCCGGATCGATGGCGGTATAACTGAGCTCATGAGACTGACGATGGAGAACGTGCCCAAACCACCTCAGTCGTCTTTCTTGGATGGCATGAGATATCCTCGCAATATTATAGCAGCAACTGCGGATTGTCTCATTTTAGACGAAGTCGGTGTACGTCACTTAAAGGATGGCCTTCAGGCAGCGGTGGTAAATACCCTCCAGTCTTCGCTCATCTTCCACGCGCAAAGCCCAGTATTCACACGCGTAGAGGAAAACCGACCGGACGGATGCACGGTACACGCGGATCGTCATGAAGATGGAGATGTCGCAATGGGTCCATAGGCACATCACCTAGTTTAATTATTGCCACAACGACTTGCGATAGACGGGATCGAACACCTCGGCGAAGTCAACAAAGCAGACGGTCGTCGGTTGGTGGTGGCCATGGCACGGTTCCAGAAAGCGCCACACCCAGCTCGGAATCCGGTTTGGTTGTGTCTTGCCCTGGAGTCAAGCACAGACTGAAATAGTCCGGAAACGACAACAGTGAAGGTCTTCGCAGCAACGTCGATGAGGCTTATGTCGCGATAGTTCTTGCACTTTATCTTATCTCCCTTCTTGAATGCAGGCACAAGGACGTCCAAGGCAAATTCATTAGGAACTATCCCATCTCTCAACGCCTGTTCAATTACTCGATAGAGCCGGGGCGCCAGAATGTCGACATAGGACTTGTAGGTTCCAGTGGAAATACCGTCCTCTTCGGGCACCTTGGTGTTGCGCAGCCTCCGTATTTTATCGACAGATTCGCCCTCAGAAGGGAGGTCGTCCGAAATTGCGTAGGCTGGAGAGGGATGGAATTCTGCTGCAAAGGAGAGCGAGGGTGTGATGGATTGCATTTGGGGTACTGATGACGACTGAACTTTCAGGCGTGTGCGAACAAGAGGATGGTCAGACCTTGCGTACCAGGGTCCAGAAACGTTTGCACATCCCAGCATTCAGTACCAAAAATCCGTTACCGGTCGAGTAGTCCAGTTTGCATACTATTCGCCCGCAACACTGGACCAGGGCTGCTGTACGCCTCGGTTCCAGCGGACGCCCTAGCATGGGTTGCCATACCGTAGTCGGACATTTGCGCGAGTTCTTGGAATTTTGAGCACAGGCGGGCCTCCAACAGCTCGTCGGATTGTTTGTTCGAAGTTGCCGCCTCTAGCGCTTTGGCTCAAGAACCTAACCACAAGGTAGCGCTAGTAAGCAAATTTACTTAATGGCGGTTCACAGTCGCCGTAACGCGGTACCGCCATCGGGCTCTGCAGCATCTTAGAAGACTGCCGGCGTGCCGGACCTCAGCCCTCCGCACTCTGGTAGCACTGTCTCTGCCGGTCCGCGACTGCTTATTCGTCAAACTTGAGCGTCTGCTTATTTCGCTGCTAACCTTCGCTGTAGGCCTTCCCACTATCCGCCACCTGTGGAAGCACCAGGTAGCCAGTAGTTGGGCTAATGGATAACCACGTTGCTTACAGAGTGAGAAGTAAGGGCTGGGTCACACTTTCCTTCTTCTCCCATGATACTCCCGTGGCAGATCCCAACCAAGCCACTGGAAATTATGAGGTCGGGTGCAGCGGCTGACTCGGCGTAAAATCTCAGCCCGACACCTGCCACATGCGTGCGCACCACACCTAATTTTAGAAAGTCGCACAAACACCTGGAAAGGAACTAGCCTTTCTTGTAATAATAGCAGTCAGAAAAAAGCGAAAGAATCCGAATTAAAGGCAGCTGTGACTGAAAAAAAAACAGTCGGCAACTAAAAAGATGACGAGTTAAGGGCGCGGAAATCCGATTGAAACTGTCGGAATCATTAGTTGGCTTTTGGTAAGGATTTAAAAAGTCCGGTCTCTTGTCTTTGAAAAAGAGCCGTTGAGTTTTCCTACGCTTTAGACTGCGACGAAGGGCAGCGTTAGAGAATAAAATTATCACCAGCGAGTTGAACGTGTCAGATTACCGTAAGTTCTCGCCTTCCAAACCAGCCACTTGTTGAGTTTTGTCTGCGGAACGGTCGGCTGATGCGAGATGGCGAGCAGTGTGGGGTAAGAGTTAGTAAAATCGCATAAAACCGAAATTGGGGGTTACATCTACGCTGCGCCTTGAACTATAAGCTCTTCACGTCCAACTTAACAAGCGCAAGAGGTTTTAGCGCCACTCCTCGTGTGTGAAAGTTCTGCAGAGTCTTCGTGACAAATAATAAGCCCCAAAGGCAGGTAGATGAATTTTGGGCAGTTATGAAAGCCCCGTTGCGGTATTCACACACTGCTTGCAAACCATACTTCTTCCACGCAAGGAGGTCATACAGTTGGTGCGGCTAAAAGATTAATTAATCTTTTCAATCGAGCGGGATGAAACTTTGAAAAATGCCACTATTTGACCCGAGTTTGAAACCCGGTGAAATTGTATAAAGCACTGGAAAAAGGGGCATTTTGAGGCATGGAAGTTCCAGAATGACTTGGCCTTATCACGAAAGAAAAGTAGACCTAAGCATAAAGTCGTATTTTAGGAGTTAACTCGATAGGTATGCTTATCGAAAGTTCCGGAATCATGTTCGAGACCATAGCCAGATAGTGGACAGATTGTTCACATTACTATTTGCTTATTAGTCAGCGTTGGACATATCTATGCGCAGCTAGGCGCCCTACCGCGTTAAAGGGAAATATCGCTCGGGCGGCGGTCGGCACGGCAGTAGACAGCCCAGCTACGCTGCCTCCCAGAGACCAAGTCGGTTTAACTCTGCCGACGCAGATGGTTAATCCGATAAACTCGAACAAAGTCAGAACCTTCTGATCAGTACGGTCATTCTTCAGACGACCGAAGTGTTTTTATCTCTGAGAAAAGTTGGTTCGCCTCCAGTGTTCCAAGGCAGATCGGATCAATGACAATTCTGGTAAGGCTCAGATCAAGCAGATTTACATCATACTCAAGAGAACGAAACCATAAGCAAAGTCGACGCTGCTGACTGCAGGCTGACATAAAATATAAAGTTCTTCAAATCAGTTTGTTCGAGGATAGCAGTAACCACCGTCACAGGTCAGAGTTTTCTGAGAAATGTTGAATGCGGAGTTACTGGAAATGCCGTCCAGTTAGTAAAAGCAAACTGCTGTCTTTGATTTTTGCTCCTATTTGGGCCGTACCGCATCCGTGCTGCTTAACCGTGCCACAGCAGCAGTGAGCAAAATAACAATACTGATGAAGAGAAACTTAGGGGTGGCGCGCTCTAATGACCAAACCTTGGATTTGGCGTTAAGGAAACCAGGAAGTTAAGCGAAATTTTGAATGTCATGCGTAAGCAGACAACCTATAAAAAGGGACAATGCTCTAAGCCTCGAGGATTTAGAAGAGCGAAGCAGATGCAAAGCTGAAAAAGCACTACCAGCAAGTAAGCCCAAGCAAGCAAAAATAAAGCCAAAATAGTCGCTGGGGAATATATTCTATTCTTTTCAAATCAAGAACTGTACATGTGGGCGCACCACCAATGTGGTCGTAAAAGACAGGCATAACACAGTCTGCATTTGCGTCAAAAGAAAAATGATTGTATACATGCACACAAATTTACACAAAAGCGCATTTTAGGTCCAAGACTCCACCTGATACCTTCCAGAACTTTCAAGATTACTTATATAGGCCTCGGCCTCGAGGTCGGTCATTTTGCCGCAGTCGCGGACGACCTCAACCAGGGATTCTCGCACCGCAGCAGGCATCGCCTTGGCGTTTCCCGCCACGTAAATAGCGGCGCCAAATCCACTGAGCAGTCCCCAAACTAGGTCCGCATTCTGCAGGATTCGATGTTGAACGTAGGTTCTATTTTTGGCGATCATACTGCGGCCATCACGAGAGAATGCTGTTATGAGTTTCAGGTGCCCCTCTGCTTCCAACTTCTCCCACTCTTTTTGGAAGTAGAAGTCTTTTTTGGAGAAACGGCAGCCGAAGAAGAGGACATTAAGCGGAGTAGAGAGGGTGGTCTCGTCACCGGTCTTAGTCAGTCGATACCAGATGAAGGCTCTGAACGGCGCCACTCCGGTTCCCGGGCCAATGAGAATGCACGGATGTGTTGGCGAGGCGAGGCAGTAGGTGAAATCAAACCCATAAACAGGACGGGAGATCCAGCCGGAGATTCGGCTGCCAACGGGGCTACGAGCCAGGAAGGTTGTGGTTAAACCTTGTCGTAGGGTCAGCATGCGTGTGCGGAAGGAGACTACTGCGACGAGCAGTTCGATTGTTGGTGCCGCCGAGGCTATGGAGTAGGGTCGGGGGTGTATGGGCCCTGGTAGGATATCCAGCCACGATTCGACAGGGATAAAAGCCGCCGTGCAGGGGAAGTCACCCAACACCTCGACGATGCGCCGTCGGGGCCGGTTAACATAATCGTAAAAGTCGTCCATGGCCTCCGCCGTGCAGGCATGACCTAGTTCTTTTAAACGGTCACACTCCATCTGGATGCGTTCGATGCTGTCGCTATGGGAGGCAACTTGCTTCCTACGGCAATGAGCGGCAGCAAAGTTGGAGAAGAAGAGTTGTGTGGGTAGGCAGTTGAGATCAAAGTAGTACGTGACTAACCAAGCCATGGAAATGGAATCAGACAGGACATCAGCTAGACGACCAGGTAGAGGGAAGGGTACGATATGCTCGCCGGGTCGCTGGGCTTCCCGTAAAACTTCGACCTTGATGCGGGTGCTCGGATCAATTCCAGTAATAGTGAAGAAGGCAAGAACATTTTCCAAAGAGTTGGCAGGTTGAACGTGAAAGACGGAACCGGGGAGGAACTGGAGTGAGTCATTAGGCGAAGGTGTCTGTGAGGGAGGAAAAAAGAGACGGATTAGCAATTAGGAGTTTCGAACGAGCAAAAGGGATGATTACCTTGTTACTTTGTTTTCATGACACCCCAAACCTCCGTTGACTGGACTATGTATTGCGGGAGCTGGTCATAAGTACAGAAGATGACAACGTTAGCTAGCCTTGGGTAGAGTGTCCAGTCAAGTAAATGAATTATGCCCTAAACACGTTGGCGTATATGGTCAGTCTTTGGGTGGCATGGCCGAATAAGGCCTGAAACAGCTTCCGCCCGGTTCCTGCCATCTGTGTCAATCTACCCCTGCTGTTTACTAGATCACTTTGCTACCTGGCAGCTGGGCGCTTGCTAGGTCCCCCTTGACGTCAGACTTGTAGATGACTTGTTTTACGAACCAAAACAGTTCGGTGTGAACCCAGATCTGTCTGAGTATATAACAAGAGGTATGGCTCTTCAGAGGGATGGCTACATTTGTGTGTCACAGACTGTTGGTAACAGCATATTGACGGACAAAATGAAGTGTTGACGTGGGATCCTCACACCAGTCGGATAGGGACCGGAAGGATACAAAGACTGTCTGCAGGTCGGTATGTAGGTGCATCGTTCGGCTTGGGGAAGGGGTTGAGACGTGAGTTTGATGTCTTCTGGGTGTGGGGGGATGGCGGGTCTGGACAAAAACAGGCAGATAGGCATGGGTCAATTTTCGTTGCGCCAAAACTGCACGTGAACGCTAGGAGACCCACCCCGCTTCCACAATGTACCCACGGTAGAATTGTGATGCGTTTTGTGCAAAGCGCATACTACTACTCGTTTGGCTGGTGTGAAATGCACATTTTCTGCTGAAGTCAACTGCAGTCGTCTTGGATTTTTGCACCAACTTCGGGACCTGGCTGAATATATTCGGTTTCGACCGTTTCAGTCCAAAGAGAAACATATTTTGACGTGATTGCTGTGTCGACGGAGAATATTTCCCTTAAGATGTTCATATGAGAGGAATTCGTTGTGTACCTTTTTTAAAAGCGCCGAATATGGGCGCAATTTCCGTGGTAATTCTTCCCGACTGACATCGCTCTAGATGGCCGCGATAATGTTTAATGGGAATTCAAAGGGTTACGGTGAATCGCCCAATCTGAAAGTATGTTCCGAACTTCTCGTTATCGCAAGCCCATTTTGACAATAACAAAATATAGGCACTTGAAATGGGTCCGCACTTTAAACAAAGTCGGCCCCAATCCGGTTACCTGAGCTTACGCAACCTTATTTCTATGATATAACGCAATGCCTTCCGCTAATTTTTTACCAAAGGTGCTTGAGCGCATAGGCACGCAAAAATCGGTTGCAATCACTTAAGTGTAGTTTGTGGGTTGCTGAGCAGTCAGCGAGGACGCAACCTTACTGTGGCCGAAGTGGTCAATTTACCTACCAAGCGAACCTTCTTAAGCTTTCGAAGAATGCTCAGGAAACAACGACTGCCATAAACTTCTGGTGTGCTAAGGGATACAACCAGTCAAACTGCCCTAAGGAATAGAGGTTAGATGGGAGTGCTCGTCATCCTAGGTGTTCCCTTGGGGTGTAGGGGTGTCCGGTTGTGGATCCACGTGATGGTCGTAGTAGGTCGCTCACTTGCTCGCAGGTGCTGACTACACAGTGTCCATTAACTGGCACCTAGCTCTCACCCGTGGCTCCCCAAAGCCAGGCTCTGTCTATCGGCCATCCGCCGGCATCCGCCTCGACCGCTGAGCTAAACCAGATGAGGGCATCCGTGTGTGCATCTTCACACACAGTAATTCTGCCCCCTCCCACCGCCGCTGGCCGCACGGATCACCGTATCGCCACCTCCCAGATGAGGCTTCATCTGTAATCCCGCAGGAGAACACAGGCACTCAGCATGCTACTGATCCCGTGGATGGAGGGCCTGCCCCTTTCTGTTCCTTCGAATCTATTCTCCACTCTTCATCCTCTCTGTTCTCTACTCTAATATCTTTCCCCACGGTCAAAAGTCCATGCATGACCATCTCCAAGATGAGGCTTTGTCTGCAACTTCGCTAGGGGCCACAAGGTAAGTGACCCCCTAGGTAAGCTGAATATCGCTTGGTTGTCCTTGCCCGCTAACCCCTGCATTTCAGCACTCATCAAGCTACTGACCTAGTGGCTGAATTACCTGTCCCTTTCTGCTCCTTCGCGCCTTTCTGCATCCGTCGCTAACTCTACTCTACTGTCTTCCCCCGCGGTCTAAAGTCCTACGGCCAGGGTGACAGGCAATCACGTAAGCGGCTATGAAGGATGCCCTAAATAGAGGTGGGTTCACGTCCTCCGCGCGCAAACCATAGCTCGCAGACTGCTAAACATGTGGTCGAAACAAAAACGCAAGAAGAAATACTCTCCCATTCCTGTGCCTTTTCACCGCCGCCCCACTTGCCAGACTGGTGGGGTGAGTTCCCTTCGTCCCCATCTAGACAATCCGAGGAGGAAACGACCGGAACGGATGACGGCGCTAATGGCTAGGGAGTTGGCGCGCTACAAGGTAGACATGGCTGCACTCACCGAGACCCGGTTCTTCGAAGAGGGCCAACTGGAGGTGGGTGCCGGCTACACCTTCTGCAGCGGTCGTCCCAAGACAGAGCGAAGGTGACACGGGTGTCGCCTCTGCCATCATGATTGGCATCGTGCGACGACTGCCCTGCCTGCCGCAGGGCATCAACGATCGGCTGGTGAGTCTCCACCTGCCTCTCCGAGAAGTCGAATTCGCCACCATTATCAGCGTCTACGCTTCCCCGATGACCAGCCCTGACGAGGCGAGGAACAAATCCTACGGGAGCCTGCACGTACTCCTGGCGTCTGTGTTGAAGGCGGATAGGCTGGTAGTCCTTGGTGACTTCAACGCCCACGTCGGCACTGACCATGCTATCTGGAAAGGAGTGCTGGGCCCCCATTGACTCAAAGGCTCCTCCTGCGAACCTGCGCAGAACACTGTCTCATCCTGACCAACACCTACTGCCTGAAAACGTGAAAGAACGCCACCTGAATGCACCCTCGGTCGCGACACTGGCACCTGCTGAACTATGTCTTCGTCCGAAGGCGAGACCAGTGGGACGTGCTAGTGACAAAGGCCATCCTGGATGCCGACAGGTGGACCGAATACCGCCTCGTCATCTCCGAGATGCAGATTTGCCTACAGACTCGCAGGAGACCTCTAGGTAAGCGACCTCTAGGTAAGTTGAATATTGCCTTGTTGTCTTGCCTGCTCACCTTCCCCATTTCAGCAATGAACTAGCTCAACAACTGTCCAGCCTCTAGTCGTCTCCGCCGCCGCATCCGCCGCTAACGAGAACATCTACGTGGATAAATGATGGTGCCAACTGAGAGACGCGATCCGGTCAACAACTCCGGTTTTCCTTGGCCGTGCACGCCGCCAACATCAGGACTGGTTCGACGACGACGACGCCGCCATCAGTAACCTACTCGCCGCAAAGAACCGTCTGCACAAAATCTACATCATCCGCCCCACCGATGACAATAAAGCAGCCCTCTATCGTAGTCGCCGCCTTGTTTAGCAGCGGCTGCGCGAGATGCAGGACGGCTGGACGGCTCTCAAGGCCGAGGAGATCCAAGGTTACGCGGATCGCAATGAATGGAAGATCCTTCGCTGTGATCAAGGCTGTCCACGGTCCCACAGCCAAAGGCACCGCCCCTCTGCTCAGCGCCGACAGCAGTAGCTTACTTACCGAGAAGACACAAATTCTACAGCAATGGGCCTATCACTTAAGTGGCGTCCTCAACTGCCCCTCCACCATCTGGCCCAAGTGGAGACCAATGCCCACCTTGACCTTCCGCCCTCTCCTCACGAAACCATCAGGGCTGCGCAGCGGCTCTCCAGCGGAAAAGCGCCCGGGTCGAACGCGATCCCTGCTGAGATCTACAAATACGGTGCCCCCTACTCATGGATCATCTGATAACGCTCTTCCAGATGTGGCGTTAAGAAGAAGTCCCGCAGGATTTCAAAGACGTCACAATCGTCGATCTCTATAAACGGAAAGGAAACGGCCAATTATGCGACAACCACGGAGGAATCTTCCTCCTCAACATCGCTGGAAAGATCTTCGCTCGAATTCTCCTCAACCGTCTCAACAGCCATCTGGTACAGGGACTCCTTCCGGAAAGCCAATTCGGCCTCCACCGTCATCATGAAACCATTGACATGATTTTCGCCGCCCGCCAACTGCAAGAGAAATGCCAGGGGAAAGGGATACACCTCTATCCTACCTTTGTGGACCTGACGAAAGCCTTAGACACACTGAGTCGCGAAGGACTGTGGAAAATCATGTAGAAATTCGGCTGTCCCGAACGACTCACTCAAATGGTACGTCAGCTCCACGATGGCATGATGGCGCGAGTCACAGACAAGGAGGCTGTTCGCAGTGTTTAAAGGAGTGAATCAGGGCTGCGTTCCCGCACCTACCCTCCTCAGTCTCATGTTCTCTGCCATGCTGATGGACGCTCCCGTGACGAACGCCCTGGGACCCACATCGCCTACAGGACGGACGGCCAACTCCTCAACCAACGACGAATGCTCTTGCAATCGCGGGTATCACCAACCACCGTCCATGAAGTTCTCTTCGCCGACGACTGCGCCCTCAACGCTACCTTCGAATGGGACATGCAAAGGGGCATGGATCTCTTCGCCACCGCCTGCGACAACTTCAGTCTGGTCATCAACGGAGAAGACGGTGGTTATGAATCAACCGCTACCTGACGATGCCTACGTCGCACCCCAAATAAACGTGAACGGTGCCTAACTGCAGATGTACAAAGCAGTCATCCTGCCGACAATGGTGTATGGAGCGGATGCCTGGACGGTGTACAAGAAGTGGGCACGGAGGCTTACCCACTTCCACCTCAGTTGTCTTCGACGGATACTGGAGCCGGATCCCGGACACGGACATACTGGAGCGGACGGGAATCCCCAGCATCCACGCCATGCTGAGACAACTGCTACTGCGCTGGAGCGGCCACCTTGTGCAGATGGACGAGAAGCGGCTACCCGGATGACTATTCTATGGAGATGTCGTCACAGGTTCCCACTGACAAGAAAGTCAAGTCTGGCGCCACATGGATAACCTGAAGACTTCCCTGAGGCGCCCGCAGATCAATCCGGCCAACTGGGAAGACCTCACCCGGGACCGACCCACGTGAAAGAAAATAGTGAAGAGAAGCGCAGCAATCTACGAAGCCCATCGCTTCACCGCCACCAAAGCCACAAACGCGAAGCCTGCAAATCACAACTGCCCCCACCTCACAACGCCAATGCTCAACCGCCCCCAATCAGCCAACCAAGTCAGCGGACGTCCCGGGTACCCATCTGTCTTACTGGATATCTTCGGACCCAATGCGCCATCAGCTCGACAACGTCTACTTCTTCTCTCACTCTCGCCCTTGTCGCAAACTCCGCACTGGCCGACACCCCCTCACCGCCACTTACACTGTCGCAGCCTCGCCGCCACCACCCACCCTGCCCCAACTGCAGCGGTCAGCACCACCACACGACCTCACGTACTCCCTTCACCGAAGGGCGACGTCCGACGTCCCATCAACTTCAAACATCAACATCCCCACCTCCAGCTGTGTGGACGCGGTTCATACCTGTCCGCACTGCGATCGCACATTCAGTTCACACATCGACATAGTCAGCCACTTGCGAATCCATCGCACAGAGGCAGGCAAACCAGTGCCTGGGGGATAAACCGACATGCCGCATCTGTTTCCACAATCCTCACTGTCCCGCACATTCACTCACCGAATGAGTCTATTCGGCCACATGCGTATTCACGACAACAGCTCCAACATCACCACTGAAACCAGCTCTGACACTCCCGATCTATCCTGCCCACACTGTCCCCGTACACCTCAAGCATCGGTCTGATCGGTCACTTGCGAATCCATCGCACAGTGAATGGTGAACCAGTGCCTGAAGAACCAACCTACACTCACGACACACACATCAACTGTCCTCACTGCACCCACACATTTACTCACTGCATGGGCCTATGAGGCCACATGCGCATTCACGAAAACCTGCGATAGATAACCGCCAGCTACACCACACCATCACATCATCCCGCACCAGAATCCAGCACCACACAACATCATCACCGATCACAAGCACCCAATTTCCACCTCCCACGCAAGTGGAAAGTATTCTTTTCGACCTTCTCTCCTTGCAGCTTCACTGCTGCATGTGCGATCCGAGTCTGAGACTATAACGGCTCCATCTTAGGCTATCTTTGACACTCACGCATGTGAGGAGTGTGTGTGTGTGCTTATGCTCCGGGACATTCAAACACCGCATGGGTCTTTTTGGCTACATATGCATTCATAAAGGCGGAATTCATCGCAATATCAACACGATAAACCCACCTCCTACACCCGGAAACTCCTTCATTACCAGCGTCGCCACCAGTAACAGGATCGTTGCCACCACCAGCTTAGAAACCACAATCCATTCTCACCCTTGCTGTCACCGCACAGTTGCATTACACAAGGGTACGGTCAGTCACTTACGAGTTCGTCGCAGGGGAAGCGGTGAACTAGTTCAAGAATTCCAACATACATTTTTTACAGCCCCCTAACCGGCCGATAAAGCCATTGTATAGACCCACTCGGCCACGTGCGTCTTTAAGATCGTCTGTGGTAAAATACCACAGTCCAAACCTAATGACCGCATCCCGTTCTACCAGACCACACATCCCTAGACCACATATGAACTAGCTTCCCATCGCGCACCACCACCCGTAACATCCTAACTCATTCCGACAGTAGGCACATGCACCCCTCCACTATCGCTGGTGGGCCGGACGTTACGACACATGTCAGGACATGCACACCTCACGTGAGTGGGAAGTAGTTTTTGTTCCACCTTAACCACGACACCTCGTCTTGTCTGTACAAACAAACTCTTAGGCTATACGCAAACTTACTCCACAACAGGCGCGTGCACGACACCACTGGCTACCATACTATGCATCACTCCTTACAGTAAGCATGTGATCCACTTTTCCAGCGGCTGCATGGCGGGCGAAATGTCGCATGCAAAACACGCATATAGTACTTAATCAGGAATCGTCATCTGGTGCAATGTGGTACATATGGAGTATGGACGAGGTCGTGTGCTGCGCACGTAAACAGGCTGTTCAGTCTGGTCAGGCACTACGTCCAATCTCCTCAATTGTTTTACAGGCTCGAGCAATCTATTGGTGCATGGGACAGAGAAGATAAAGTCCGGCCGACCTGGGGGAATTCAGACGTACGGCAAATCAACGCATTCCTTAATATTATAAATCTGATGAGTTTAAATATATAAAGACGCGGGATCGGTCGTGGCTTGAAAGACTGCCAAACAACTGGATAATCCGTCCCTTCCCTGGGCTGATGGTCACGCTGCGATAGCTCTTTTAAAATGTGGCCTCTGTAGTAATCTCACGCACTTGAGATCCGGACCGTCCCCACAGTAGCCAGGCACACGATGTGGAGATCGAGCTGCATGTGGTACATGTAGCCCTGTCAGTTACTGCACCCAGGTCCACCTCCGGTCATCTTGACTTTGTCTCACCGCCAAAGCAGGGTGGGTAGATGCTGCGTCCACTCTGTAGGGTACGCGGTGGGCGTCGTCGCTTGCGGCTGCCTAACCGTCGTTAACCTAATAATCCCATAGACTACTGATGAAATGACTTCAAGGCGTGCCCATGGCACGGCCTTTTGGGACATGCCATGACATTCTAATGAACTTTGAGTCGGAGGCAATCAAATGCTGCGGAATGACCATGTAATTTTCGCTCCCAGAACAAGTACTACTACAAGTGACATAATTTCGCATGATGGTTGCTGCACCATACTTACATCATAAATACTGGATACAAATCTAAACACGTGCTTTGTCAATATTTCTACTGTTACAGTGGGTCCACGTAGCAAAAAACGACAGTTCACGGGGAGATCATTAGCAGAAGTCATCAAGGGTACTGCGTTAGCATCCTCAAAGGCACCGCCAATTACCCCCCAATATGCTGAACGTCGAGAATTTGGTCCGAATACGAGTCTACAGAGACAGATTTTTTCGACTGAGCTGCAGGCTTCTTGCCATAGAAACAAGGCGTAGTGTATCTTCGTCCTGATGCGTTGGCATCAGTTAGACGAAATCGGCAGTTCATGTGATTGGAAATAGCGCCGTGTGGCTGCGGTACGAAGCCTAGGAGAAACAGACCAAAAAAGTCGGCATATCTAGCTGGACAGATCTTAGAAATAGACTACGCCCGTTATCATGTAGGCTACACCATTGTGGTACACCAGGAATGCGATGCTTACCTCCATTTCAAGTCGGATGAGTCTAGTGTCTTGAAAGTAATCCTCGGGTGTCAAACGTTCGTTTGAGACTACAACAAAACTTGAGGCCCCTGATGGCATAGGCGGTCCCTTGAAGAGAGAGTTATCATGCCGTACAAGGGCCTCTATCCACTCAGTGAGGTAGTTACTGTTGTCAAACTGGGTTCCATTAACGGAGTTCACCATATTCGGATCAGTCTCACGCTTTTTTACACACTTAACAGCAAATCTTGGCTGTAGCGAAGCAACAAATTCTGGATTCTCGAGGTCATCCCAGGTAATGGGGAACATGAGTGTACCCAGACTTTGAATGCTCGAGGAGTAGTGAGAATTTATAGTGTTCCACAGAGACGGGATGAACCACCGCATGCATGCCACAATGCCCTCGGGAGCCGAGTCGTCTGCTAGACCGAGTCCAATATCCTGAGTTTTATCCGCCAGCGCAAGAGAGACGGGAAGTGGGGAAGCACCGAGGTGAACAAGGCGGCGATAGAGTTTCTTCGCAACGTGATTATAATGGCTGTAGGAGGAGTCGCCCATGCCCAGTACGACGAAACGCAGGGAGATTGGGAACGTACGCCCCTCTGGCAGACGGACATTCATAATCTTGCGCCAGAAGGCCGCCATATTGTCCGGTGGATCTCCGCAGCCCGTGGTCGAGCAAATGAAGATGACCGGGCCCGATTCTGAGGCAAGCTCGTGTAGTGGTTGATATTCATCAGCGGAAGAGACGTGGATGAGGGAAGCGGGGCAATCTGCAGGGTAATTTCTGAGGCGAAATAGTCGGCAAGCATGTAAGGCCAGTCTTTCGGCGATGGTACGTGCATTCCCCGTTTGGCTGCCATATAAGATAAGGATCCTGAATGCACGACTCATAAAAAGGCTTTAAAGGCTAAAAGAAAGAAAAAATGCACCCAAAGTCCGGCTTCTCTCACGTTTCGAAAGTATAGAAAGTGAAACACTCAACCGAAGCATGCAGCATGAGATCAGTGGTGAACAAAATGCAACGGGCCATATCATAGTGCAGACTGATCTATAAATAACTGATTGATTAGCTTTGTCACAATAAACGAACAGAAACTTAGGGTCAAAAAAGCTCAACTTGTCACTAACTATCGGATGGACATCATGCCAAAGACATGCATGGCTGAAGATCAAGCAAGCTATTTCTAATTTTTTAATATGCGCATCCACTTTTCTATTTATTCGGGGTATGACGAGGTTGCTTCGTAGGCAGCCAAACTGTCAGCCTTTCAAAATATCGCTGGCGGTCATCAAGTGTGTTCTCAACTTTGTCGACTACGAGAAGACAACCTAACGCTTTTAATATCCGGATTAATGTCTTGTCGGAGACAGGCTTACGAACGAGGGTGAGTCACTTAGCAGGCCAGCCCCGCAGACGGAAGAATCAAATGTATGTTTAAGTCAGCGTTCACTGCATCCACCCTCACCTTCAATTGACAAACCGGGCGATGTCTCCACGCAAAGTTCAGTTCGGGCGTGATTACATCGCGGACAACATCCCTCTCGGGTCGGTGATGTGCATGGCCGAACTGTCTTAATCAACGAGAAGAGTTTAGAGAGCCTCATGTGCATGCTGCGCACACGGTTGACCTGATAGTCTATATCATCCTTATTTTGCCTGTGTATCAAAAAGTTCAATCTGGTACGGCAGTTGTCACTAAGTCAGGAGTTTCGACGCCTTCCCTGGTCGAGAAGAAATCTTCAACAGTGAAACCCGAAGCATCATCTTCTTCTTCATCTTTTCGGCCCACTTCGACTGCTATCGCGTTTGTATGGGGCTCAGTAAGTTGAATGTCAGCAAAGCTGCACGGCGGTATCGTAATGTTATCAACGTATGTTAGATCCCCAATACACGTACCACAACCTGCTGCGGCTATCGGATTGTGTTCCGGCACTTTATAAAGAACCTAATCTCTCTTGTAATTCAACGGCATTGGTGAGGGAGCACGGCCCTGATGGACGTACGCGACACCAAAGGAATTACTCTCCGGACTATTAGCACTAACGTGTTTTCCACTTTGTAGTGACAGGTTTGAATCAACCGAAGTAGTTTTTGTTCCAAACCATCATGCGGCGATGGGCTGAGTCTAACCTCACAAAATGACCATGAGTGGGATGTTGGTGGCGTTTGTTTTTTTTTCAGGCGTCGCTGTTACATGCGATACAATGGCTGTAACACCTAATTTTGAGGATATGCTTTGAGTGTTCTATCGCATAACAATAACGTGCGACCTGAAACATGGGTAAGTAGTCCTTTCTAGGCGAAACTATGTTTAAAAACCCCTAGTTATTGCAACAATACCAGTGAACTCTGTTATAGTGGCAATGCTTACTCTGAGTCTCCGAAATAGGCGCACGCAATGGCTGAATATTGAACCTCTGTTGGCCACAGTGCCCACGCCCCGCATCAGACAACTGACCGGCGCGGACAGTGGACAGGTGCCTGGAAGTGGGATGGAATAGCGAGGTTGACAGTCTCAGCGCATATTCCTTACTACAAACCATTTGATGCGCTTGAAGCTATCACGGTGCGCTAAAAGCAGTGGTTTGGAAGGTTGCCAACTGACGGGGTAACTCGCACCTCGTACTCAGCCCAGCATGTACTTGTGTGGAGTGGTCGACCGGTGGCTTGAGATTTACGGCGTGATGGCTCCTTCCTAATGTGGCCTTTATAGCAATTTCATTCAGTGGGATTCGACCCGGTCGGTGATTTATTCTTTATCGTAACTTATTTTACGCGTCACTCAGCCTACCAGAGATATTATAGGAAGTGTGATACTTGTTAAAAGAGTTAAAGGAGGGAACCGTTCAGTTGAAATGAAACAGGAATATATATATATATATATATATATATATATATATATATATTTCAAGTAAATAATTTCAGAAATTACTCAGTGCAGGACTTGGATTTAAATCTCCGGGACATGACTTTTTAGGGTCAGAACCGAAATTTCAACGAACATTTGAGTCGAAGACAATCAACTACTGCCGAAAAACAACGTACTGCCCATTCTACAAACAAGTAGTACTACAAGTAGTATGAATTCCATATGGTAAATGTATTATACCGTACTCCCGTCATAGATACTTGCTAAAAGCCCAGACACGTGTTTCGCCGATATTCTGCCGCTGCGTGACACAGCTGCGAGGGGTTCGGCTCTTCAGTGGGACCCACAGCGAACCAGGGCGCTCACCGACCGTTCATACGGAATGCACTCATTCCGTTGTGCCTTAAGGGCTCTCTCTCGAGCGCAACCAGCAGCCGCGTAGCAGTGCATGATATATAGGCAGAATGGCATTACCGGCAAAGACAAGTGAGACTGGAATGGCCATTTCCGGCTTATTAGCCGTCGTCAGCCAGTTATGCCCCATCCCGAAGTGTGGCACACCCGAGGCTCGAACTCGCGACCTGCTTGTTAGAAGTTCACGCCTCTAACCACTGAGCTATAGCACCGTACGAAAATTTCAACTAAAACTTAAGGCGGCGGTGGCAGCAGAGATGCATTAAGAGGAATGAAGGCAATATGCACATGAGTAATCGTAAGATAGAAGATGCCAAGTTCATGTACGCCTAGTCAAACTTAAAACGCGACGACCACAGAGACACAACATACTATCGGCTGTCTGTCGAGATATTGTCTTTCCCGGCCATCTTTGAGCCTAGTAAAATACGACCGATAAGCTCCTTTCATAGCACAATAACGTAGAGGAGTCCTCGGTAGAAACTCCTTGGCTAATCAGGAACTAGTTTTGCATAGAAAACGCCTTTGGATCCTGAACCAAACTGAATACCTGATAATGGTTAGCAGAAGTGTACGTGATGGTTATTGTAGCGGATGAATACATTTCAGCTATCCGTGCACTCATTTAAATTTTCACTCTCTGGGTGAATAGATTACTTTCTTCAAATGGTTTGTAGGTCTATGTGTACAAAGTGGCCATTAGGAAGCTAAGCAGAATACAATGTTAGGAGGCTCAGATGCCAAGCAAAAAGAGCGAATCCTGTCCACTTACTTCGTCAAGGTGAGACAAAATAGTGACGAAAGTTCGTAGCCAGAGAGACATGTATCCTGAAAATTAAAATAACTACGCAAATATACATCAAAGCACGGGAAAAGATTAGCCTTAATCAAAGTTTCGATAGCGATATTGGTAGTTCAGAAGAGGAGTTGACGTGTATACGATGCTTTCGATAAATTCTCTCCAGTATGGGATACAGTCAAACACGCCAGTGATTGAAGAATCGACAAAAGTTATTTATAAATCACAGGCGGGACGAGAGCGGAAAGGTGTAGAAATTTGTATGTAGTTAGTCAACCTTTCACCACGATATGCTTGGAACCTGTAGGAGGTTATACTGAGCGCATGAGGCCGGTTCTCGTAACCTGATTGCAACCGCTTCTGCTTTTGCTAACAGGCGCTGGCCCAATACCTTAGGATAGCTCGAGCGGATCATATAAATTACTAGGAAACTTTGTCGAGGTTCACGTGATGCCCTGAATCAACTGAATGCACAAGAATTAGGCTGCTTATGCTTCTGGTTACGTCTTTTGTCAGCCATGCTGGAAGGTGTTCCCGTATTCTTTTGGATGGACGCCGACTCGCACGAGTAACATAACGCCGTCCGCAGGGGCAAGTGAGGAAATAGATACACACTTAGGTTGTTTGTGGTGGCAGCCTACCTTCACCCCCTTCGCGTAAAATAGGGCTAGTAGACTATGTTATTGGAACCGCTGCTGCTGGGGAGGTTCTCGAGACAGCTTAATCAAGGCCTCTTAGGAGTTCACCCACAGCGTCTCCTTAAAAAGCAACTTCGAAGAACAAAATTTTCTTTTCGACAATCAGTGTGGTCGGTATTGACGGTCGTTCGGCAATGTTCTTTACAAGGAAACTGTCGGCATACCCGTTTCCGCAATGCAAGTCCTGGATTTTTCTAAGCTCCTCCTCGATGCTATCTGTTAAACAAACTTTTCTCGCCCTTCGTTCCAAACACCGGACAAGATCCCGTTTTTGTTGGAGGGGTTTTTGTTGTTGTTGATGATTGTATCTTTGCGATCGATGCCGCAGAAACCGACGTAGTTGCCTTCTTTAATGTTGTAAATTAGGCACATCCATCGATCAAATTCATGTTACGGATGTAGTGGCCCAGCTCGCTTCCTTTTTTAAATGTCACTCTAAAACAAGAGACATGACGGTAGCGTCCGAAGGACCATCTATGGGAAGAACACCCGGTCTGTACAATACACCAAGTACGCACATTCGTGCCTCTCAGAGAATATAGGAAATCTACTCCGGTGTTTGGCACAAAGAACGGGAAACGTTTGTGTAACAGACAGCATCGAGGCGGAGCTTATAAAAATCCAGGACTGCTAAACTGCGTACTTAAATTTTTATTTTGTACATACAGATCTTTTTTAAAACTTTTGCGATTATTTTGCCTTGGAACACAGGTTATTTGACTTAAGACAAACGCTCAAATTGCGCTCTGCTGGCTAAACAGACACCCAAAACAAATGAAGTCAAAGTACAGTCGGGATGGATGAGTTCGTCTTAGGTTTTTTCCTGAGTCCAAAGTGGACTGACAGTGCCCAAGGGCTCTATAATAAACGTATTCTATTCTGCTTTCTACTCCTGACAAGTCTGATAGCTGTTTATTATTGTTATTCCATCCCTAATATAACTGAGGGTATTGGAAAAACAGATGTCCCCGATACATCGACATGAGATAGAGTATCACCGACAGTGGAATTGTAACCTGTGATGTTCGGGCAGGCTAACGAAGATTCTGGCCTCTCGGCAATTGTCCTATGGACGGGTATAAAAAGTATCACACACTCAAAAACTTCTCGCTCATTTGAAGTTATTCCGTATTCAGTATTCAGTCTAATGTACCCTTCCTCACCCACGGCAGCCGGCATCAGATCTTTGCTCTGCGTCTGTTGTGGTCCCCAACATTCAGGAACTTCTACCTACCAGTTTAGATGTTAACAGTCTTACGCAACTACAACATTTGCTTACCCAATTTAAAGAGATTTTTGATTGGGACCGGACAAATGTTACTCAACATTGCATTGACACTGGGGACGCCAAACAAATTAGGATCCCTCCTAGACGTCTCCCTATTTTCTATCAGAAGGAATTGGAAGCCCTCATTAGCGGTATGCTCAGTCGAAAAATTATTCGACCGTCTCATTCGGCGTGGTCGTCACCGATAGTACTCCTGCGGAAGAAGGACGGCACGATGCGCCTATGTGTTGATTACAGAAAACTGAATACTGTGACGAAAAAGGACTCGTTTCCGTTGCCCGGGATCGATGCTACCTTGGACACACTTGCGGGTAATACCGTCTTTTCAACCCTCGACCTAGCCTCGGGCTACTGGCAGGTGGAGGTTCGACCCACTGATAGGGAGAAGACTGCGTTTGCTCTACCGTCTGGTCTCTACGAGTTTGAGACAATGACGTTTGGACTAGCCAATGCCCCTAGTACCTTTCAGAGGCTTATGAATCAGGTACTCTCTCAGCTGATTCCCAACTCGTGTTTGGTTTACATGGACAAAATCACTGTCCTTGGGAAGGACTTCGAGAACCATCTGACCAACCTTCGATCTGTATTCTTCAGTCTCAAGCAAGCCGGTCTAACTACAAAACCTTCAAAGGGCGTCTTCATTAGACCACACGTTAAATTCATGGGACATGTAGTTTCAGCCACTGGAGTATAAACCGATGTCGACAAAGTCGGAGAGATCCGGTTTGCAGTTTTTTAGGTCTGGTGTCGTACTATAGACGCTTCATAAAAGATTATGCCAACATTGCGCTTCTCTTAACCGTCTGACTTAGAAGGACAAAAAGTTCAAGTGGACGGCTGAATGTGATGGTAGCTTTCAGTTGCTGAAGGATAGTTTGTGCACTAGTCCTGTCCTGGTATTCCCCGACATCAGCGAAGGTTCAGTCAAATTTATCTTAGACACTGACACGGCTATAGGCGCCGTCCTGTCTCAGCAACAACGTGACGGCACCGAACGTGTCATTCAGTACCTTAGTCGCACACTTACCAAAGCAGAGCGGCGGTATTGTGTCACCCGCAAAGAGATGCTCGTACTTACGTATTTTGTTTAAGAGTGTCGGCCCTATCTCCAGTGCTGAACATTCATAGTACGTACCGACCACAGATCTTTGACTTGGCTGGAAAACTTTGAGAATCCTGAAGGGCAAGTAGCTCGCTGGCAAGAGAAGTTGACGGAGTTCGATTTCGAATGCATCTTCCGACTGGGTCGTCAGCATGGAAATGCAGATGCCCTTTCAAGGTAACCTTTTCGGCCACACGGGAATATCCGTCCTCTGCTGGCATCGCTATATCCACCGTAGCTTAGCAAAGTGACAAATGTCTGCTCTGGGCTGCAGCT